GAAATTTAATGGACCAAAATAGTTGGATCTTGAACCTTGAGGACCTAAAACAAATTTGACAATAAAACCAAAAAATAATTAAATTAAAAAACCAAAAAAATAAAAATCAATCTCTTTCTCCCCCACTAGCCACCGCCACTAGTTGCCGGCCGCCACTGCCGCCGTTTCCACGAAATTTCCACTGTTAAGTACCATAAACCCTCTTCCCAAAAATATGTTCCCTTTTGGAAAGAAATACCGAATACAGAACTGGAAATTGAAGAGGCTGCACCAGTTTCCTTGAAGAAACAAATCCCCAATTAACACAACCATTTCCCCTTTACAAACAACTGCTACAAAATACGCCTCCAATGGCTCCGGCCCAAAACCAAATTTTGCCAAAGAAAGATCCCAAAGTACTTCAATTTTACTTGAATTAACTTCAAAACACTTTGATACTTTCCGTTTTGAGAACAAAGTGGGTTTTATATCAATTTTATAGATCAATTGATGTGATAAATCATCTATTTCAACACTAAGGCATTGACCCATCAAACTCTTGCTCCAAACAATGTTCACTAAACAAGACAGTTGACGGGCTACCGATGAAGGCATTTGAGGTGCGGCTGCTGCAGAAACCTGTAGGTGTGGGTGGTGGGGGACGGCGGTCCGAGGCTAAGGATTCTGTAGCGCGGCCGCGATCGGCGGCTCTCATAGTCGGAGATCAAATGGGGATTTTCCGCTTCTCCCTCTTCTTCGGCCTTCTGGACTCTGGTTTCTTTTTCAGAATTTTTCCCTCCTACTGCTTAATAGCCAGTGTACGGTCATAAGCGAGAATTGATACACAAATGTGTGGAGTTTGAGGCAGCGGTGGGGTGGCATCGGCGAAGACAGCTGGCAACTAGTGGCGATGGTTGGTGGGGAAGAAAGAGATTGATTTTTATTTTTTTGGTTTTTTAATTTAATTATTTTTTGGTTTTATTGTCAAATTTGCTTTAGGTCCTCAAGGTTCAAGCTTCAACTATTTTGGTCCATTAGGTTTCAATTAAAATGTTTCAACTATTTTGGTCCATTAAGTTTCAATTAAAATGAAAAAGTCATTCAATGACCATTACTGAAATAAAATGATACTTCAGTGACCGTTGGTGCAAATTTTAAACTTCAGTGACCGTTTTATGATTTTGACTTAACTTTAGTGACCGTTTGTGAAATTAACCCTTTCGACAAATGTTATATATCAAAAAGAAAAAGCACAGAACTCAAAACAAAAATTGAAATGACCCTTTCCGGAATGGGAGCAGTACTTCCTTAAGGACCCATCTTCTTCTCGACCTCTTCTTTAACTTCCTCTACCTTCTTTAACTCCTCACCGTCCAAGGATTTCGTTTTGTTCGCCAAATGTATAGCTCATGACACAAATGTAATGTATTCTATATCAGAATCAACCTCGAGCCTACTCCTCTTGGACCCACCCTACTTCAATTATGCTCTTGCTTTCCAGCATTGATTCAAATACTAGATCTCCAAATCTGAAACCAACATAATGTAAAGTATTATCAATATATTTTCCAAAAAACCATAGTTCAAAATAGAATTGTAATCCATCCTATATCACATGGAATTAAGTCCCAAAATTCACTCTTACCTCACTCCAAGTTCAAGAGTACATAAAAATAAAATTCACAACGTTATTTTAATGTACAGTAATTAGCTTAATAAAAATTTCAAAATATATTGTTTTCATCTTGACTTTTAATAAAATGGTTTTCTTAGATAAAGTTCCTCATTTAGGTCCCAAAAAATCAAAACCACATTTTAGATTAGAATATTAATTGAGAACTACTAAAGATATAAAAAAAAGTTGGACAGAGAATAATTTTGCGTACAACAAAGTTCTTTTTTCAACTAAAATAATTAGAATTTGTCTTATTGACAACTTGGTGTACGTCCCCTCACGAAGGGAGCCGCTTCCAATAAAAACTAGAGTGTACACATAGTTGCCCCCAGGGCAAATTTCCCAGTGGCAAAGGGGAGGACGGTTAGGGCTTAGCGCAGTAGTATGCAGAGTTCGATTCTCCGCAAGATGGAATTGGTTTTGTTGCAAGCGGGAGTGATCATAGGGTTAATAGCTCAAACCTATCCATAAGCTCTCCACCCTGACTCGTAGAAGGCACATTCTGCGATTTACCTCCTCCACAATGACCCGAGGCAGGGTCGATCGGAGCCCTCAAAGTTGGGGTTCAACCTTTTCTTTTTATTTAGAGTGTACACATAGTTTGGTCCAAATCACAAGAAATCAAACACCGTTTATCCGCGTCTTCGCTTTTCCATAACTTCACAAAAAAGCGGGCCCGCTCACAAAGGCTGCCTTATCACAAGAAATCAATCACCATTTATCCGCGTCTTCGCTCTTCCATAACTTCACATTTAAGTTTGATCAAACCCAAATCTTTCTGCAAATTCCCTTGACAAATCCCAAAATGCAGGTACAAACCCAGATCAAGAACCAAGTATTCCCATTAATTTCATATTCGATTCACTGAATTTTTCCATTAATTTCATATTTGATTCACTGAATTTTTCCATTGATTGTAGGTTTCCGGAATGGAATTCTTCAAAAAAGCAAAATCCGTCCGGCTGAAGAGCCATCACGACAAATATTTAACAGCAGATTCCGACGAAGAAACCGTCGTCCAAGATCGTCACGGTTCATCGAAATCCGTGAAATGGACAGTCGAATTCGTGGAAGGAATCGAAAGTGTCTTACGTTTGAAAAGCTGTTATGGGAAATATCTCTCAGCCTCGGACGAACAGTACCTTCTGGGAGTGACTGGTCGGAAAGTTATTCAAACTATGCCCAGAAAGTTGGATTCATCAATTGAATGGGAACCCATTAGAGATGGAATGCAGGTAAAATTCAAATCAAGATATGGTAATTTTTTGCGCGCAAATGGGGGTTTGCCTCCATGGAGAAATTCAATTACACATGATATTCCTCATAGACATCATGATTGGGTTCTATGGGAAGTTGATATTATTGAAACTCGATCCGATTCGCCCCCGAAAGTTTCACGATCTGATACTTTGGAGGGAGATTTGAGCACTGCTTCATTTAATTTGAGATCCTCCGGTTTTCGTAGTTATGAGGTTTGTTCTCTCTCTCTCTCTTTGGTAAACTTTCGCAAAATTGTTTGTTGGTAGCTTATTCTTGTACGATTCTAGGAGCCCGTTTCGGTAGAACTTCTGAAAAGCTTTAAACTGATTCTTAACATGTTTGAATAATTTCTTTGATGATTTCAAAGGAAGTTGGCTTAATATAGCATTCTCATGGAGCTTTCTACTACAAGCAAAAACAGAAGTCCTACCAAACATGGTCTTGATCCCCTAAAGCCCAAAACCATAGCTTTCTCATAAAGTTTTCTCCTAGAAGCAAAAATAGAAGTCATGCCAAACATGGTCTTGATCCCTTAAAGCCCAAAAGCATAGCTTTCTCATAAAGCTTTCTACTAGAAGCAAAAACAGAAGTCGTGCCAAACATGATCTTGATCCCCTAAAGCCCAAAAACATAGTGTCAACACGTGCACAGTTTTATAAATAGTGGCAACAAGAATTGAATTTGCGAATTGCTCTAATGGTAACACATTTAACTATCAAGGCCTAGACGTGTTTAGCACGTACACAATTCTTATAAATGAATGGCAGCAAGTCTTGAATTTGGAACTTTTGGCTCCTCTGATGCCACGTTAAACTGGCTCATCTAAATTATAAACAGTCTTCAATGCTTATGATGTTTAGCAATTCTTATACTTCGTTGTTACGAAACTCAGTCCAGTGGTTCACTTGATGAATCCCTGAAGAAATCTGAAGGCCGGCTCATATACTACAATGTGGTGGATGATAATGGGAATGCTAATGGTGCAACTGAAGAGACTTCATTTCAATTTAAAGGGAATGGCTTGGAAGACTTGATTCAAAAATTGGAGGAAGAAACTGGGATTGAGAATATAATTGTGTGTTCTCGAAACAAAGTAAATGGAAAGCTTTATCCTCTGCGGTTGGCTCTACCTCCAAACTATGCAACTATGCATGTTGTTGTAGTTCCATCAACATCGAAAGGTTCGTAAATGCCAAACTTCTGCTCGATTAATGTTGGTTGTTTGGTTTATATATAAGCGCATCTATGGTATTTTTACTTGTTGAAGTTTTGGTACATTGGATTAGACATTGTTGTAAACTATATGTGCTTGTACTAAAAAGAAGCTTTATATGTTGTTTTTGCAGTGGCTAATGAATTTATGCCAGCAACTCCCACTTTTACATAATGAATTCACCACTATTTGTGAGACATTCTCATTCAGGATTTGTTGGGCCAAGGAAGCTGAATCCTTGATCACAGAAGGAGGATTTGAACTTCCATTTTCTAGGGTATTCAGTGGATTTTCTGTTATACATGAATAATTGTATGTTTGATATACAAGATTAGATTGTAATGGACAGTAGATTGTACAAGATTTTTTGTTTCTTAATACTATTTAGCATTATGGAATCCCCCTCACAGAACAGAGTTCAAATTTATTCTTACACTAAGTGTTATTCAAAATTTGCGACAAATGGGTTAAAAGGTTTACTCCATAAAAACAACATAGAATTTGAAAGGTTTAATGAGGGAAAGACCGATACAAAGAAAATTTAACAGCAAGTAATTTACAGGTGGTTACGATATCTTAGAAACTTAACTCGTTTTATTGAAATGGTACTAGAATACCTTGTTTCTGGCTCATCATTGCCATTGCTAAATACCTTGTACCCATGCCTATGGGAGTTTGATCGTCAGGACCCTCCCAAAATGGCGCTTCACCTTCACCAACCGGCGACCAGACGCCACTATCCTGTCCTAAGAGATTCGGCCTTCTTCTGTGCAGTTATCCAACAGTGATTCAACCCGAAAATTAATTCCAAGAGAACCAAGAAATTGAGACTGTCATTGGACCATGGACAGACACACCTGAAGAAATCAAAAACCCATCATTCATATGTACATTTCTCAGAGTAACAGATTTTTGCTTCATTTTTTACTGAAAGAAACACAACAATTAAGCAAGATAATATAAACTCATACAAGTGTAGAGAAAAACCAGGAACTTCCTCAGCAGAGTGCCTAATTGCAGCAAAATCTACATATGCACTGAGATCGGCTGAGCCAGGATTATCCACTATGTCAACAAGCTTATGTTTTCGAATTGCCTGCAACATTGAACTATAAGCAGTGACCACTTTGATAAGGAAACGCTAATATTATATAATTAAAGAAAAATTGTTTCCAGCAGCGGTGCTGAAAAAGTCACGAGCCAATACCAATGGCAATTACAAGATGCTAACTATGAGGCATAATTCTCCCATCACAATATCGAAGTAGTAATACCTTATACTATGTTGGGTATTCCCTCCACGTGAGGGAACCCATTAAGTGGTAAGTGGGCCTTTTGCCACTTAGGTCCAAAACCAATTTAAATTCAAAAGGAGACCAAATACACACATAGATAGACACACGGGAAGAGAAACAAAGAGGGCTGTAGCTTCATTTCTTCAAAACATAGAGAAACGAGAGACAGAGAGGGTCCAGTTCTTCTTGCCAAAGATTGGAGGTTCATTTGTGGTCCGATTAAACTAACATTTCAGTATGTTGTTCCTAGTAAAGAGGGCTACGTTTTGACCGGAGCTGATCATCTAGATTCTTCTCCATTTCTCTGGACTGTACACACATCTTTGTGAGATTTCTTCTTGTAATAGTGTGTATTTATTTTATGATGATGATGTTGTTGTTGATATC